AATGTCTTTTTTGCCATTGCCTAGGGCTTTAGCCTCGCCAGGGAGACTTGGGCTCATAAGGAGAGAATGACTGGATGGTCAGTGTTTCTCTTCCTGTTGCCTCGTGGCTGAGGGCTCTCCTCTGCTGACTCCTGTCTTCTCTCCCATCTCCTGCTCACAGCGCTGAGAGTATGAGGCTCTGGCCTTCACTGGCCACTCACTCGTGACCCTTCCACCACGGCGGGGCCTTCCAAGCCGACCTCCTGCCGTGTGGTGATCTACCTGCAGCGGGAGATGTCAGGGGATACCTGCCTGTGCCCAGCGTCAGGGGCCAAGCCCAAGCTAAGCAGCTTCAAGGGAGGAGGCTTGGGCAACAAATACGTCCAGCTCAATGTGGGTGGTTCCCTGTACTACACCACCGTGCGGGCGCTAACCCGGCATGACACCATGCTCAAGGCCATGTTCAGTGGGCGCATGGAGGTGCTGACCGACAAAGAAGGTGAGGTGCTGGGGCTTGTTGGGTGGGGTGGGGAAGGAAGGAGAAGTTCCTGAGGAAGTGATTTCAGGGCGTGGCTCAAGCCTGGCAGATCTGGAATCTAGATTCATTTTTCCTGTTCACCTAGTGCAGGACTCCTTCACCTGGAGTTCTTAGTAGAGCTTCAGAATTCTTTGAAATTATACATAGAATGTTGTGTATTTACATATTTTGCAGGGAGAAGATCCATACTTTTAAAATATTCACAAAGGACTAGATTCTCAAAAGAGCCATTGCCATAGTGCCTGGGCAGCGGGCCAAAGGCAAGCAGGGCCAGGTGTTTCTGTGTTGCCAGGAGGTGGGCCTGAGCACTCCTGAGCTTAGACAAACTCTGTGGGCCTCCGCAGAGCCTGGCGGGCCTGTGTCTCCCACAGTATGTGCCAGTTCTTGGCTTCAGGGAGGAGGGGTGAAAAGCAGCCACGGACTTAACAGCTGGAGGTTCTGTTCCCACTCCCATTACCCAGTGCTGTGGGCTCTGTGCCCCTTATCACCTGCCACCAGGCTCGTCAGGTGGCCTTTGCCTGCTACCTGCTCTGAGGTACCTGGAGGCAAACAGTAACCCTCTGGGGCCTGTCTGAATCCCTAGGCTGGATCCTCATAGACCGATGTGGAAAGCACTTTGGCACCATTTTGAATTACCTCCGAGATGACACCATCATCCTCCCTCAAAACCGGCAAGAAATCAAGGAACTGATGGCTGAAGCAAAATATTACCTCATTCAGGGGCTGGTGAACATGTGCCAGACTGCCCTGCAGGTACGGAGGCAGAGTCGGGTAGGTTGATGAGGTCGGGATGGGCCCCCTCCTTCAGGGAGGTAGGGTCCAGTTCCTGGAAGGCTACGTGTCAGGTATGATTGATGAGTCCAAACCTAGTTAGACACACCAGCTGTTGCCCAGGCCAAGCAAGCTGGCAGCCGGTCGTTTTATAAGGTGACGGACTCAGGCGGTATGAGTCGACTGTGCTTCTAGTTTATCTGCCTAGATATCTGGATTTTAGGTTTCTGGGAACGGGGGTCTGCTTGCCAGCTGGCAGTTCTATTGCCAGGGGCCTCCTGTCTCTATCTGATGCCTCCTCCACAAGTAGGGGGTGGCCATGGCAGAGGGGCTCTGACGGCTCCTGGGGAAAGCCTGGCTAAGCCTGGCAAACAGAAGATCTCAAAAAAAGATTCTTGGCTGTGTGTCACCCAGGACAAGAAGGACTCCTACCAGCCTGTGTGCAACGTCCCCGTCATCACGTCCCTGAAGGAAGAGGAGAGGCTCATCGAATCCTCCACCAAGGTACTGGGACCCCCGAGGGATCCCGAGGGATCGCCGAGGGCCGCGGGCTGGGGTTGTCGGGCCCTTGGCCTTCATGCTCTCTTCCCTCACAGCCCGTGGTGAAGCTGCTATACAACAGAAGCAACAACAAGTATTCCTACACCAGGTAGGGGGGGCACCTGCTGAGGGGTGGGGTGCACTGCCCAGGGAAGGGCCACAGAAGCAGCGGGGAGGGCTGAGCAGACAGAAATCGGGCAGCAGACCCAAGGGAGGCCACCTGCACGCCTGGCACAGTTGGCGTGAGTCTGGGTCTCGGGAAGAGAACAGAGTAGGAGGGAAATCAGAGCCGAGGCATTTGGAACTCAATGCGGGGCCCTGGCTGGGATGTAGATGGGACTGAACATGTAACAGCCTCTTAACGTGTGTCACGTCAGGCAGCGGGCCAAGTGTTTTCCCTGCATTCTCTATGGGCTGGAGGAAGGCTGGGAAGCCAAGGGGCTGGGACTCCTCCTCAGGCAGCCCTCGCTCTTCATAGCTGGGCCAGTGTCCCCCTTGTCCCCCAGTGGCCTCTCAACAGGCCATAGTTAAGTATATGCAGGAGGCTGCAGGCTCGGAGACCCAAACCCTCTCAGGGACTCCCCGTGGGCAGACATATTGCCAGCATCACCCCCCACAGCCAGGGAAGGGGTCCTCCTGCTGAGATGGCAGCGAGCCTCCTTCTTTCCAGCCTGGTAAGAGGAGACCTCCCTCCCTCAGTCCTCTCTGCTTTAACTTAAAACCAACTCACCTCCTTTTCCTCACAGGCCCCCAAACCCGAAGGGGGCCCCATGACCCTTTCTCTCGCTGTCCCTCTGGCATCTTGACTCTTCCTCCTTTCGTGAGCACAACAGCGGAGGGGAGGAGAGATCGCAGCCAGCACCCGCCCCTGTGCTGGGACCTCCCTCACTCCCAGGCCCCCGGGCCCTCACTGGTTTTTCAGCAACTCCGATGACCACCTGCTGAAAAACATCGAGCTGTTCGACAAGCTCTCCCTGCGCTTCAACGGCCGTGTGCTCTTCATCAAGGATGTCATCGGCGACGAGATCTGCTGCTGGTCCTTCTACGGGCAGGGTCGGAAGCTGGCAGAGGTGTGCTGCACGTCCATCGTGTACGCCACCGAGAAGAAGCAGACCAAGGTATGGGGCTTCTGCCGCGTGAGTGGGGCTGAATCTTTTGCCACCGGGCATATATTTTGCTGTCTTTCCCAAACTTGCCGTGATGGTGCTGCTCAAGGACAAAAGCCAATGCGTGGGGTTTAGGGAATGGTATAGAACTCTGCTTTGGTCAGCTGAGAGGCAGGCCACGGGAAGGACCGGGTCTTTGGAGTTGGCCCAATTCAGATCTGAATTCTGGTCCCACCATTTATCAGTTTTCTGACTTTGGATAAGCCATGTAAACCATCTGGACCTCAGTTTCCTCATTAGAAATCTGAGAATAAGAGTGTGAATTTAACAGAGCTGTTATGAAAATGAGACAGTTCTTAGAAGCAGCAGTGCAGGGCAGCAGAAATAGCTGTTCAGATCTCCTCTGGCCCCCGCTGGTTGGGTGTTTCTGGTCAATCAGCTTAGCCTCTGCAGTGACAACGCAATGCCAGGCACATGTAAGGGATTTGATAGGAGATAGCTAACTCTCTTTGCCCCGGCTGCAAGCAGATGGTGCCTCCCTGGAGAATAGCTGTGCACCCGCACCCCGCCGCCAGTGTGTTTTGGAGACAGCAGAGCATTGCTGGGGTGGAAGGGCAGCTCATCTGGAAGAGAGCTGTGTGCAAGTGAAGGCCTCAGAGCAGCCAAGCTTTTATTTTTCGTTTACTGTGCGTCAGGCTCTCTGCTAAGCATTTTGCATCTTTCATGTAATGTTCACAACAACTCACTGAGGTAGATGTTAACATGTGGAAACTGAGGCACAGCAAGGTTAAGTCCAAGGCCCCACAACTAATAAATGGGAGAGCTGTATTTGTACCTAGGCCTGACCACAGAGCCAAGGCCATAACCTCTACACACACTAGTCCATTGGTCTGGGATTGGGTGAGGCAGGGGGAGGGTGCTAGCGTTCCGCGCCTCTGTGTCCGTAGACTCCATCTCCTCACGCCTCCTTCAGAAGAAGACCCCCGCCCTCCCTCTCAAGATAGAAAGTCATGTCTCTTGAGAGAGTTCTGGAGGCCTTATGGAGTCAACACAGGGCCACGGGCCCTGACATGCTGCTCCCTCTTTGGGGTAAAACCTCATTCGGTCCTCTCGTCCCCCTTGCCCCAGGTGGAATTCCCAGAGGCCCGAATCTATGAGGAGACACTCAACGTTCTACTCTACGAGACCCCCCGAGTCCCTGACAACTCCCTATTGGAGGCCACAAGCCGGAACCGCAGCCAGGCGTCCCCCAGTGAAGACGAGGAAACCTTTGAACTGCGGGACCGTGTCCGCCGCATCCACGTCAAGCGCTATAGCACTTATGATGACCGGCAGCTCGGCCACCAGTCTGCCCATCGCGACTGACAAGACCCTCCCGGAGTCAGGGCACGAGATACCCTGTCTCCTCTCTTGTGGAACCCCACCCCATTGGCCACCCCACGCTACTGCTGGCTTGGGTCTCTGCTCCAGCACTCAGAGGCATGACAGGCCCTGCCTGGGAGGTCAGAGGGCCTGAGCAGGGGAGGGACTGCGTTTCTTTTCCTAGCTCCCTGAGCACTTCAGGATGACTGAGTCCCAGCCCCTTTGCTCAGCATTTCCCTTTCTGCCACAGGGAGCCGCTGCTGCCCCAGGGCTGAATGGACTGACCTGCCCACCCCCCTGCCAAGAGCATTCCCCTTGGCCCTTCGCTGAGCACCCCTTTGCTCTGCTGAAGGGCTACTTTAGGCCTCACAGGAGGCCCATGGGGAATGGGTTCACTCTGTGGGGAAGGTGGCTTCTGGTGCTGTGGAGGCCCAATTTCTTACCGAAGGTGGGGCTTCTTTTTTCCTAAGGTGTTTAAGCACAGGCTTAATGAGTTTGGTTTTTAAAAAATAATCTAGGAAATGACTAGTTTTAAGTCTAATAATGAGGAGACTGGGTATTTCTGCTCCAGGGTTCCAAGACCCTGAGTAAAACAGAACCCTTGGCCCTTTTGATGCCTTTGGGATCTGTTTCTGTAAAGCACTTTGTACTTTTATTCAGATTTTTATTCTGCCCTGACCCATGTCATCCTTCTCTGATTCTAAACCCCTTTTCCCTGTAGAATCAATCTGAGGGAGGGGAAAGAAGCAATAAAAAAAAAAAACTGACCGTCTTTGGCTTTGCCAAACTGGCCAAGCAGCTGGCCCAGAGAGCACTGAGGGGGTAAGGATGTGTGAGATAGGACCTATGGTCCTAATAGCACCCCTGTAAGAAAGGATACTTTGCCCCTACATCTTAGGGTCACGTATTGACTTCTAGAGTCTTACATGATTGATGTCTTTGATTCTCTTGCCCTTGGCTCCAAGGCATGCTGTCCTCACTTACTCTAAACCCAAAGAGCCATCACGGGGGCCGGGAGCTGCTTGCAGCCAGGAGCATGAGCTGCAGCAGGAAGGCTGTGGAGCCTGTGGGCACCACACCTGCCTGCCATCAGCTGAGAACAGCAAACGCAGAGCCCCACGTTCCTGGAGGCCCTGTGCAGAGGCGGTTGTGCTTGGCCATACATCTCCCTGCCCTGCATCCATGCTATTGGTTTTGTGTCCTGGCTGGGGAATGGTGGTTCTGCCCAGTGGTGAGTCCCTGAACACAGGATAATGTGAGTAGCCTAAGAGCCTTGAAAGGTTTCTTCATTTTTCTTGTTGGGTACTTGGCTGTGGAGATGCAAGCACTGGCTCTTGGGCAAGGGTGCAGGTTCCTCTTCAGGGCTTTGGTATTCATTCCCTTCTGTTTGGCTTGGCCCTTAGGGGGCTGCTTATCCGAATTCTTTTCCAAAGGAATGTCGCCAGTGAGGGAGCTGTTCAGCCAGCCTAACAAAGCAGCATAGCACTTAGCAGTACCCACTCAGTCAGGAAGGGACATAGCTTATCAAGTTCACGTTTCTTGACTACTCTTACTATAGCTAGGTGGCTCTTCATGGCTGACCCCATGAGCCTATGGGCAAATGACAGGCCAGGGTTAGCAGACACTCACAAGGCCCTGAAATGACATGGTGGGGCAGGGGAAAGGTGACTTTAATCAAGCATTTTTCACTTGTCGCTGTCTTGAATGTATAAAGACTTCCAGGTCAGGCACCTTGGTGATCAGCTACAAACGGTTCTTCCAGCCTTCACTGGAGTAACAAGATGAAGACAAATGCACCTCTTTGAGCAGATTCTGGCTTTGGCTTTGTGGCTTTCCCACAGCGACTGGAATGCTTCTGCTTGAGGCCCCTGGTCTGTTTCCTCAGCTGCCTTCCTGAAGCCCCAGCTCCCCACTGAGGCATTTTAATGCTTGTCCTTTGGCCTCCGCAGCCCCTGCAGCCTCTCTTTACTGCTCTGACATTCAGATCCTCAGCTGTCTCAGTGGGGAGTAGTCTTTCTGGGACTCTGGGCACTTATGTCGTCCAACTGAAAATATCTCTTTGGTCTTTAAATATTGAATACTAACATTGAACTCACTGAAGTAATCTTAGCTTTTAAAATCAGACTGTGGTGTAAGGGTTTGGGGTATTTTCTTTGAGTTTCCCAGCCCCACTTAGAAAGCAGCTCTTGGCTGTGTGAATTTTTCAACTCTGAGCAGCCCAGGGGAATGTAAACAAAAAAGTGTGGATGAAGGTCAAACCTTCTTTTCAGTTTCTGAGAAAACTGGAAGCCTGCTGTTAACTACACGGACCAGGATTAGGTTCTAATCACTCTGTTACCTGACCAAGTTCTGCTTAAAGAATGGCACAGGTCCTGACATGAGAGAACTTCTCCTTTATCATGTAACTACAATTCTTTGTTGCTCAGCATAGGTGATGGAAAAAAACACTAATTTCTAATAAAATTGTGTTACACTTCAGTGGTACAGAGCTGTGCTTACAGTGAGTATAGCTTGGTCAGCTCGCTGCTGTGGGCATCATAACTGTATTTCTGTTCACCACCTGACCTTATGTTCTCACTGGGTCCTATGCCCCATTGCACTCAGTTGCCCTGCAACCCAGGCTCCCCCTGGTGGAGGATTAAGGACAACACTAATAAGGGTTGGAACTGAACTTTAATGTTAATTCAAGAAAACGACCTCTGTAACAATCACTACAGTAGTGGGGGAGCAGGAATCCTAAGAATCAGGGCAAAAATGCAGCACATTTTATCTCTGGCTCTTGGAGATCTGTGAGAAGCTCAGAAAGTAGATTGGCTTCGTCACTGTCCATACCTAACACTCCTTGGCTGAGTTTCTGCAGTTGTGATCTGGAGGCTTGACAGACCTGTGCTGGCAAGCCCATTGCTCCAGAAAACCTGACAGGCTTGCCTCACTCCTCCCCCAGGCCCACGGAGGCCAGAAATGCCAATAGTTGGCCAGCACAAAGAGCCGAGCCACTTTGATCCTGACGCTGGCCTCCCGCTCTGCACTTGGCAGAGGGTAAAGGGAACAAGAGTCCAGTCCAGCCCCCGCCTCACTGGCTGAGTGACCTGGGAGACATCGGCCAACCCCCAGCCTCAGGAAGGAGACAGATACTCTAGCTGAAGGGGCAGCTTCCTGGAAGGGCAGTAAGGACAGCAACCAAGGGCCCCTGCCGGGTCAGAAAGGGAGCCTGAGACCCTGGGGGCAGAAATGGCAAGGGGGGGCCAAGCGTGCACTGGTTTATTGACCAAACCTCACATTCTAAACAACTTGTGTGACAGGCTAGGAAACTCCTCCAGACTTATGGCAGCTGAACACAGAGAGTTCCTGATGGAAAGGTTTACTGGAACACAGCGTAGGCAGGGCTTACGGGGAAGGCCACCCTTGGAGGAGTCCTACGTGGGTCTTCTAGAGAAAACAGTTATACTCCACCCGCCAAAATAAGAACCCCACAATCAAAAGGTGCAAACAATTAAGAGACCCACTGTGGCCCATGACAGAGTTCTGCAGCAATTGTGGGATGTGAGCTGTTCTTTGGGGTCTGAGCCTGGGTGCTTAGGGCCTCAGCTGGCCTACCAGTGAAGGCCTGAAGGTGGTGTCTTCTCATCTTTATTGCTTTCAAGGGAGAAGGGAGGGATCCGGACATCGAAGTGGGAACCATCAGGCCTCTCGAAGCGGAATGTGCCCCTGTGAGAGAAACTGGTTTAGAGGGAGTGAGGGTTGAAGCCTGTAGAGCCCTATGTCCTCAGCACCAGAACTGAGGCAGGATAAGACAGGCCTGGGCTCTCTTCTGCCTGGCTCATGCCAGGACAACACTGATCAGAGACCCAAGAGCCTATCCTGGCCCTACGTGAGAAGAAGAAACGAAGCTCTCCTGAATCTGGCCCTTAGATGCACCCTGCATAAGCTACCCAACTATACTTTCAGGTTAAGGAGTGAAACCCCAGGGAAAAATCCTGACTACATGGGCAACTCAGTGCAGCACCAAAGTCACCAGACCTCTTTGACCTAAGTCCTCATTCTACAAAATCACAGGGAACTGGAAAAGTCATAAATCAGACAAGACCCACACAGCAATGAACAGCAGATAAGGCTCCACCTCAGGACTTCACTTGGTCCAGAGTTAACTGCAAGCTATAAGCTCTCACTTTTTCTGACCCGCAGTGTCCGTGGACTTGAGCTGCCCCTGCCCCAGCATATGCTTACTCACCACATGTGCCCACTGGAAGCTTGGAGGGAGACATGGCTGCTGTACTGGAATGCAGGCTGCTCCTTGGATAACACTGGTTCCTGTGAGGGTTCAGGCAAAATAGGTCAGGCCAGACAAGCTCCCTGTACCCTGGGGCCACATGCTGACTGCCAGTCCGGGCTGGATGCCCCCTCATGCCTCCCACCATAACAGCCGACCAGCACCTTCCACAGCACAGCCATTGACCTGGCTGGGCCTTTTATTCTGACCCTGGGAAAGATAATCTCAGGCTGAATGGCTGAGGTTACAGGCAAAGATGCTAAGCCCAGGATCTACTCTGTAAATACCCTGTCCAGCATCCATTCACTAAGTAGCTAAGTGCCAGGAGCCACATTGTGCTTAGCAAACTTCTGCCAACTTAAGTCTGCTGGTAATCATAAGGTAATAGGTGTGATCCTAAGAAACGGAGATTTTGGTTAACTTGCCCAAAGTTATGCAGTAAATAAACAACACGGTGGGCATTTGAAAACAGACTAACCCCACAGCCCTGCTGTTTCTACCCCATGCTGCTTCCCCAGCTCCCTGCTAACATGGATGAATGCCTGTTGAATGTGGGCCTCTCATGACTTTATTTCTCTGGAGACTGGGTAGGGTAACGCAGGAATTGCAAAATCAGATCTCTTCAAGGACCAGCAGAGGATGAACACGTGTAAAGAGGCAGAGGAAGGACGACCAGGAGTGGTGGCGGGTCCATGCCCCACCCAAGGGTATCCCAGTAGATTTTTAAAAAGGCTGGCAACCACAAGCTTTGATGGCAGACTCACTTGGATTCAAACCCAGGCCCTGCCTCTACTAGCTACAGGACCATGGGCTAGTTAAACAACAGTCTCAGTCTCAGTCTCTTCATCTGTGAAATGCGTTATAAGAAAACCGATCTCACGGGTGAGGTTTCTCACCCCAAATAGCCCTAAGCTTTCACACACTAAGCCTCTGTCCCTAACCACAGAGGAGGAGGAAATCATGCACTAAGCTCCTAGGCCTGCTGGGCAGGACTAGAAACTGAGCATTATTGGCCCAAAGATGCTCACCCTGCCCACCACCCCTCGGCCCCGCACTGTCTCCAAGGTGCCGGATAGACTGAATATCCTCCAGTGTCGCTCCCGGAGCTGTACTACGTCATTGTCGAGGTTCTCCAAGCGGATGCAGTAACGCCACTGCGGGGGTAGGGGAGAGAGTTCACATCTGAGAAGGAACAGACCCTGGGCCAGCTCCCTTGGAATTCTAGGAAAGCAAAGGGCAACAAAGACCGACACCGGCACTGCACCGTCTCACCTCCCGCCCCCAGAGGTAAACCTGCCCACCTCCCAACCTGTGCCCACAAGTATACCTCCTGAGCTCCCCTCCTCCCGAGGGAGACACTCACCCAGTAGACGTGGGAATTCTGGGCTTCCTGGGGGAAAAAACACAAAGAATTTCAGGCCCAGAGGGCAGGAACAAGTCTATTCCGATCAACATCTCTCCAAGGGAGTGGATGTATTCCAGGTACTTGCAAAGACAGAACAAAGCCACAGGTATCTGTGGGTTGATGATGTCTCAACTATGGCCAACAAGCCCAGAGGGAGGCAGCCTCCCTTGGGTCCATCCCTGGCGCCCTACCTCTTCATCCTATCAAGACCACGAACAGAGCTGGATGCCAACAAAAACCAGCCCTGGGGCTCTTCCCTTTCTCACC